AGACGCAAAGCGCGGCGCGTGGTGCGGGCTTTGCAGGGGCCCGCACGACTCTCCGAGCCCAGCCTCGGCGGGGAGTGTTCTATATGAACTGATCCAAGGGCTCGGGTGTGCCAAAGAACTGTGCTGTCTGGACTCCCAACAGTTCCATCAATTCCTTGTGTGGTCAAGGAAGCAACTCTCTTTGCAGTTGAATTAAAAAAAAATAATAATAAAGTAAAAACAGAGAAACTAAGGAAAAAGAAAGGACCATCTTTACCTTTTTTTTCCCGCATAGCTCCAACCTACACGGAGGCAGCTTTCCTGGGTGCAGGTTGGAGTTTGGTTGGGGCTGCTTTTTTTTTTAAGAAAAATCTCTCTTTTTAGAAAATTCTTTTTTTTTCTTTTAATGCTAAAGTCTCACAGTTATTGAGAAAATACTACAAATATGAAACACCTTTTGCTCCAATGCTTCAACACCAGAAGGCAGTGCAATGAACACAAAGTTTTGGGTGCCTGTTAGGATTTGACCACAGATACACTGCCTTTCTGTGGCCCCAGGTTCACTTGCACTGATAAACTCCATGAGTTTTTATTCTCAAAGTGGTTTTGGCTGGAGATTTTTTTCATTTACTTTCCTTGTGCTTCCCTTCCTCTGCTGCTTGGTGCTTTACACATACGCAGGCTTCGCTCTTACCAGTCTTGCTAAATGATTCCTGTCTTTTCTAGCTAGTTTTTGAGATAAGGAACTGTTTGTCTCCCAAAATCATGGCATTTGCAACAAAAGTATTAAAGTATTTTGTTTTGCTGTTTTTTTTTTTTTGTTTTTTTTTTTTTTTTTTTTTGCTTTTAGAGGGGTGCGGGGCTCCCTACAGGGTTAAGTACTGAGGTCTCCATACAGGTTGGAAGATTTTCAGTTTTCGCCTTTAGAGGAAGGAGGGAAGATCCTTCTGGCTCTGTGGTTGATCCCTCAGGCAGCAGCTGCTGGTGCTCCACACTGGGCAGCAGCGGCTGCCGCCTCAGGCAGCAATTCTCTTCCACTCATGACCTGACTCCTACTCCTTCGCTGTTCAAAATCATGCCAAAGAAAAGAAAAAGAAAGCAAATGCCACACAAAGAACCCAGCTGGCACTATTTTGGTGGGTTACCCTGCTTTTTCTTTCTTTTTGCCAGTGTCCGACTCACACCAAAGCTCCACACCTTCACGTGGGAAAGTCTCTAAGTCCTGTCCCCCCGTCTGAGAGCTCCCACGCTGGGGCCGCTCCTGGCAGCCCAGGGATCCCGACCTCCGAGATGCCTCTGGTTCCTCCTTGCCCACTTTAAATGGAGCTCTTTTCCTCTGCGTTATTCCAGCCCAGCTTCACAGGTTTTAGTTGGAGGGGTATATTCTGCTATTTGGCTTTGGCCCCATTCATCAAGGGCTCATCCATGTCCCCTCTTCATTCTCCTCTTGGAATCCCCTCCTTTGCTGCTTGAAGATCATCTTCTCTTCCTCCTTTGCTGCTTGAAGATCATCTTCTCTTCCCTTCTCTTAGCAGTTTTATCTCTTTCTCCATTACCTGTCAAGCACCGAGAGCCATTTCCCTCTCCGCTGCATTGGACCAACCTTGTCAAGTAGAGAATGCGAGACTTTTCCTGCCATCCCCTGCTCGTGTACCTGTGCCAGCGGACACACACACCAAAGGGCAGATATATTTGCTATCCTAAAAGGGAGGCAAGTGCACTGCAGAGCAGGCAGCCTGAGGCAGCAGGGATCTCAGCAGCTCTCTGCTGCCACCTTCTCCATGAAGGAGACCCTGTTTTCCTCTTTTTCTGGAGTATCTGCCTGTGTGGGAGGCAGCTGCAAGGTCTCTGAGGTAAGAGAAGGCGCAAGGGAGTGACAGAGGCTGCTGCCGACACGGCTTGACCAGCAGCAAGGGAAGCTGCCTTCTGCTGCGGGTTGGATTTGGGATTGATTTAGGAGTTAGAGATTTAGGATCCTGTGCACTAAGAGCTGCAGCGGCCGAGGGCGCTGCAGGGCTGCCTGGCCTCCTCCCTGTCCGCCTTTCCCAGGTCAGCTCCCAGACTCTTGCCAGCGTTTCCCTGCAAGCCATGGACCGAAAAACACCAGTGGAAAAATATAGTCACTTTTCCTTAATAATTAAAAAAAGGGCAAACTTCTGTAACTCTCTGTCCATTTCTGTGCATCCAAGTTGTCGTTTTCATGCTGGCATGAAAAATAATGAGTCATGCAAAAAGGAGACATTAACTGCTCTTTGCAGCACTTGCAGAATAGGCCAACTATTTGCAAATCCTTTGCTCCGTGAAGCCTCTGGGCCCTTCTGGAACTGAGGTCTCCATTTGGCATAAACAGGAGAGGCAACACGTCGGGAAGCACCTCTGCCAGCAGCGCTTGCCCTGCGCTCCGTGCGGAGCGGGAGGGACCTGCCTGCTCCGGCTGGCACCTCCTGGCCTGTTTATTGGCATATGACTCTAGCAAAGTCCTAGCGTGAATGCTGCTGTGCCAGCCAAGTGCTATTCCCCACATCCTTCCTCTAGAAAATAAGTTATGCTTGTGAAAATAGAGCTCTTGCTGCTGCAGTTTTGCACTCAGTGCAGAGGGGAGCGGGAAGCTCGCGCAGCTGCTATAGGAGCAGGGCTGTAGGTAGAGGACCCCAGGCCCCTGCCGGCCATGGGTGGCTCTCTTGGCTTTGGCACATCTTCCAGCACGGGTGAGGCTTTGGCTTCCTGCCGTTTTCCCTTGAGGTCAAACCCCAGCCCGCTTTGGGAGCAGTGAGGGGCTGTAGGAATGGCTGGCCCCGGAGCAGAGCACCCTGCCCGTGGTGTTTTTGGCAGGACTTATTCTGAAGCCGGATGCTGTTTAGCTGTGATGTCAACTGCAGCCAGCTCTGCAGAGCTCAGTAACACGCTCCGAAAGCATCACCGCTGCTGCCCTACGCGATCTCCTGCGGATTACCCACCTGCCCTCCTTGGTGTGCACACAACCAAAATAAAATACTCCAGCAATCGTCCCATTATGTAGTTCAAGGAATTGGGAACACAGGCTCTCCAAAGAGTAGGAGGGATTCAAGGTTAACTAAACAGGGTAATTTTACACATTCCTGTGCAGCCTGATTTTTACCTGCCACCTGGCTGCGTGGTGGGAGCACTTCCTGTACAAGGGCAACAGACCAACAAGTGTTCCCTTTTTGCTGTCGGTTTTGCTGTCACTAACCCATGGTTGCAGGCTGAGCTCTTGTCTGTACTGCGAGGGGAAAGTCCAACAATATATTGCCCCTTATGCAAAACTTATTTTTGCCCTTAACTGGCTGTGGCCACTGTTTGAAAACACACGAACTGGGCCCAGAGTCCCTCCTAAAGGTGACAGGGCAGGTGGCAATGCCTGAGTTGACTGTGCATCGGACAAAGCGGCTGGGGTGGAAGCGAGCCAGACGCAGCAAGAGTTATGGGGGGTTTTTGTGTGTGTGTGTGTGTTTTTTTTTTAAATTAGCTGCCTCCATTGCAAACTCATCCCAAGCTCGGGACAGAGCTGAATTCCTGGAGATCAGCAGTGCCAAGCTGAACGCACGAGGCACACGGGCAAGCCGCACGGTGAGGAAAACAGTCTCCACCCGCAGCAGCTGCTTGGGTCAGACGAGCAGAATCAAGGGCTGGCGGAGGGAACCGGTTCCTTGCACGTACAGATGCGCTCTGCAGTGTTTAAATAAGCTCATGCTCATGAAGGGCAAGCTGCTCGGCAGCTTGGAGCGATGTGCTGCCAGGTGAGGAGCAGCACCTTGCTTGTGTCGGCCATGTGTACGCAGCGGCCTCATAGCGAGCACTGAGCTCTAGAGGAGTTTGAGGTTGTGGGGTTTTAATAGCACCTAGGGGACACGGTACTGGCACTCTCTGCACGTTCGTAACGTCCCAGACAGATCCTGTTAACCCTGCAGTCACCTACCGATTCTGTAGGAGTTTATCCTGTGATAACTAGGAGTGCGATGAGCCGTCACCTTTCTAAGCAGGGATGGCTGAGGCTGTTTCTGCAAAGCTTTCATCCAAGACTTGGTGACAAATAAGTGGCTTCTACACTTCTGGTAGTCAGATCAGTGAATTGTTGGTGGTGAGGTTTTCCTGTGCATTCAATTATTGCCTCTAAATGTACGGTATTCCTTTCATCAGATCCATCACTCTTACTTATTGCTGTGGGAGCTGGGAGTCCTCATCAAGCCCAGCGCCTTGCCGATGTGATCAGTAAAGCCTGCGGACTGTCTTATTCGGTTCTGAGGCAAGCGGGGAGATAATTACATTTCACATGCAAATCACCACCAAGGGAGCTGCAGGAATAGCCACCAACCTGTACTGGGCATATCACACCGCCCCGAGAAGGTCCAGCCAGCAAAGCAGGCTACTGCCCTCTCTTGAACAGGAGGGATTAGCAAGGGCCGCATCCATCCATCTGGCAGTCACACAAGTTTCTTGGAGGTGCTGAGCACAGGCTAGTAGTGTTTGGGAATCCATCTGGCTTTCCTCATTCAGGCTTGTTTTGGGAAGACATTTCGGGTGCTGTTGTGAATCTCAAAGCATGGCTTTTCACTGAAAACAGTGTTTTGCACTCTACTACAGGCTATTACAGTGTCTGTAGTAAAGGCACACAAAACACACAACATGTGAGGGGACATTTGCATGGTGTTGAGCACAAGGGCTTGTCTGCATGAGGAAGAATTTCTTGCCCTGGGTATCTCAGCGAGACTAAAGACACAATCTTCCTGCCTGTGCCAGCAGAGCTGCAGCTGGCTTTTATCAGGCTTTTATCAGCAGAACCATGTCAGCAAAAGGTCCGGCCCTTAACTGACTTAATTGCACTAATAAGCCTCCGTGAGCGCGGGCTAGTGTATACAGACTCTGCAGACAGAGGGAGACAGAGAATTGCTCCTTTCACCAGGATGGTGTTTTATCCCACAGGCCTCATGGTGATGCTCTGAGGGGTGTTATCCCCTGCTATTTTAGGACTCCTGCGTAGAAGCGTGGCACCACTGAATTGGGCTTTCAGATACTTCTCTTCTGGGAGTACAGGACAGACATCTGCAGTGTGACATGTGGCCACCTTGGCTAAGCTTCTCCTTCACAAACTTCTCCTCCTGCTTGCCCTGTTTTCCCTTACAAAACTCCCTCCTATGCCAGCAAGCCCAGCCCTTGTCTCCCTTGAGCTACATGACGAGATTCCCAGCAGATGGCTCCATGGCTACATTAAATTACATGTTAGCAGGTCCTTCCCCTCTTCTTTCAAAGGTTTCATTATCTTGCACAAGAGCATGTGAAAAGAGGGTTAATGTCTCTATTTAAGAGGAAAAATGGATGAACTGTTCAGCAGTGATTCTGCTCAAGCACGAGAAAGACATGGGCCAGGAGTAAGAAAATAAATTATAAGCCAGAGGTGCTGGTTCAGATTAGAACTGTAGTCAAACACCGGTTTGGCGAAAAACAAGGGTTTGGCATTTTATGGTGAGGCCATCTGCTGCTGCCTCTGCCATTTCCCTCACTCACGTCCTCTCCATCCCCTCGGACGATTGCTCTGTCTCCAGTGCGGAAGGGCTGGGCTGTGACCCAGATCTAGGAACAGAGCCAGTTTAAAAGTAAAATAAATAGAGAAAGAAAAGGGTGGGAGAAAGGAGGGAGGCTGTTTTCTCATAAAAGCCAGTATTGCCACTGAAACCCCATCTTATCAAAATACAGCAGTGCCAGGAAGGGGAGACACCATCTCTCCAAGGGACATCTACAAGCCAAGGAGAGGCAGGCTGTCCGCAGCGCTGGTTTGTGCCACGGCCTCCCAACGTAGGCTATTGCATTGCTTTTGTAAGAGAATATATTATTGCTCATCTCCCTTGGGGATCTCCTACCCTCAGATGGAGAGAACAGGAAGTGCTGTCTCAGGAATTTGTCCATTAAGAACCTGGAGTGTGGAGGTTTTAACTCTAAGCTCTGCCTCTGTTCCCTAGCCTCACTCCTCCCAATCCGCTCTGATTTTATTGCCTTGACGAGAGAGAAGAAATGAGGGGAGAAAATGATGCCGAAAACTACTGCCAGCTGATGGGATGCAAGTTCTTCTATGTGTTCCATTTCCATTGCCTCAAAAAGCCCTCAGGGAATGGAAGGGATGGGAGGCGGTCTCTCTGTGCCGGTTCTCCAGGTTCCCAAAGTCACCCCAAATTCAGAGAGGTTGATAGTTCACTTCTAGCACAGACTAAGCGAGGTAGAAATCCCCTTCCAGCACAGAAAACGTGTTTGTCAGAGCAGGAGGTGGCAAGCAGACCGCCTGGCCATCTCCTGATGCTGGGAAGTGCGGAGCGCCCCGGCTGCTGTAGCTGCTTCCTAGGGCACTGTTGGGCCTGGCGCCTTCCCTCACGTTGCCGCCTGCGGCTGGGCAGCCATGGGGCCGATCTGCTCATCTGGCTGAGACAGTGGAAAACTAAGCGCCATAGAACAACTTGTTTCCAGCCAGCTTGGCCGCTCCAGCGCCAGGGAAGGGTGGGGAGAGGCAGCGGGGTGCTGGGGCAGGTGCGCCCCTCTCCAGCAAGCTGCTCCTGAGGGCTATCCCACCAGCTGAGCAGGAAGAGGGACGTGAGCGGCACTGCGCCTGGCACCCAGGGCCCTGCTGCTCCGCACCTCAGGGTGGAAATCGCTGCTCCAGCTGCTGATTTTCCGGGCAGATAGCCAAAGCCACACTCACTTCTGTAAAATTCCCGCATTAGAAGAGTTGGTTAAATTCAGGGAGTGCTCAAATTCCTGGCCTTACCTTCCTTAGCAATTCCTTCCTGAGAGCAGGGCCGCGCCATGTCCTCAGGCCCCTGCAGCTGCTTGCAGGGCTGCGCAAGATGCAGCCACATCAGCAGAAGCTCCATTGAGCTGCCCCCGCTAGTGTCATTGTACTGAGCTGCTCTGCAGTGACCACCCGGATCTGGTGCAACTGCATCCATGCTACGGGGTATTTGCTGTCTCTCCAAACAGAAACGTTAAGTGAGGATGGACTTTAAAAAGATTCACAGCGTAAGATCAACTCCTAACTAAGCTGCTTGTATCCACCCTTCAAGGAGTGCAGTGGAAATCCACACAAAGAAAGAGCTGTGAAGGTGAAGTCAAACAGCTTGACAGATGTTTTCCTTCTGGTCCTAGATTGCTCCATGTAGTTACCTCTCATGAATGGCAAAAGACAGAGAAGGCAGAAATCAAAGTTAGAAACCCAGTTACTACTTGCAAATGCAACTTAATTGCCCAACCCTGGAGAGCTTAAGCCTTGCATTAATCCGATCACCTTCCCGGAGCCTTTCCTGCTGGTCCCTGCCCATAGCCATGTCCTTCCCTCCCTGCCCGCGTGAGGCCTGGCAGTTCCTCAGTCACTGCTTGGCTTGCAGCAGCTCCGGGCAGGTTGCTCACACCAGCTTTATTGGATGCAGCCATTCCCAGCTCGCTGATAACGATGTTTTCCTAATGAATGACTTACATTCTCTGTTTTCATAGTGAATGTCTTATATTTCTGAGCCCATAACACAGTGCCAGACCGAGCCGTTCACATCTGCTCATTTGAGATAATCAAATATTTAGCAATCCTGCTCCAGCAAACAACACATTAGGCCACATCTCACAAAGCGGGGCTCCTTGCTCTGCTAGCAGACACCGGGGGAGTGGAAACTCCAGGGGAGGAAGCATCCATGGATCACTCATGGATCCCGAGGGAGGACAGACCCATGCGCTTTTACCTTTGAATACCAGAAGAGTGAAATAACTATTTGCTTAGGTAGGACTAATCCTCTATGAACATTTTAATCGTTTCCTGTACAATAGGAATGAGTGGGCTGATGCTTTTTTTTTTTTTTTTTTTGCTGTTAAACATTCACTAGCTTGAATTAAATAGTTAATTTGCTCCCTAAAATGTTCCTAGGACTACATTTCCTAGTAAAGATCACTGTTGCTGGATCAAAGCTACCTCTTTGGGACACCTGAATGTCTTCAATGTTTCCTTTGCTGTGCAGAATTTGTTGTTGTAAGAAATAAATGAATAATTTAATAGTGGAACTTAACATCTTCACCCTGCCTGTCAATTAAGATAGATTTTTTCTCGAATGCATGAACTATCAGGAACTCTTTGTCATAACCATTTGGAAAATGCTTCCTCATTCACAGGATTCTCAAGCAATTCATCGTGAGCACTAGAAATACAAGGTCAGGTCAAACAGGCCAGCGGCTCCCAGCAGGGCAAGGAGCTGGGAGCCAAGAGGGCCAGCACTGCCCTGGATGAGATTAATCCTGTAATGAAATATTTATGAAGCATCAAGTCCATAAACCAAGTGTGAAATGTGTCAGATGAAAACTTTAAAACACATAGGTTTTAACAGAAGTAATTTTACAGATGAACTAACAAATCTTTAAGTGAAGCCGGATCTGATGCTAAAATGTCAGACTTGTAAAGCAGAGTGCATGCCTGTTATGAGGAGATAATCTTATCTGATCTGCTCTTGATTTGCTACAGGAGATAGCACTAAATAGTGCTGGGAAAAGTGCACCCTAGAAAGCTGCAACAGTGCAAGGAAGAAAAGGAAAGTATGTATGTTTGATCCTCAGTCCAAAAGATTTAAAAAAAAGAAAAAAGGCCAGGGAAGAAGCAAGAGAGGATTTTCCATCAGTTGTAAAACTTCTTTTAAAGCAGAGATGAATCATCATCTGAATCAAAGTCTGCCCCTGTCTGTACACATTTATAGTAAACAGTGTCCCGTAAGGCGTTCACTCTTTCAAGCAATACCAGCTGCAAACGAAGGGCTTTAAATAGAGCTTTGCAGCTCTTCTGCCTTTCATCCAAAGACTTCAAAGCACTTTGTAAATATCAGTGAATAAAAACCTCTTCAGCGTTCCTCAGAGACCAGCACATGGATATACTACCTTGAATGGCAGATAAACTCCACGTGGCTTCCTAGGACAGCCCAGGACATCAAGTAGTGAGACAAGGATGACGCCACGTGCCCCGGTGCTCCCTGGGGACGTGCAGAGCCGCTACTTCTTTGCATTGGCTCTGTAAAATACTCAGGGAGAAACTAGGCTCTCTGAGCACGCCTTGGGCACCTTGTTTCTGTGAGAAATGTGACCGAAAGCACCTGTGTGCCACCTCTTCTTGCCCGAAGCCTGATGGCAAGGATGGTTGGCGGTGGAAACCTCTTTGCTTGGCCAGGCACAGACCTGTACAGCCACATCTGTCCCTCTTCTCTCTCCTTGACAGCAGTGCCCTTGCAGATGGCATTTCACAGCACAAGGGAAAATTGCACGCCTAACTCTGGGGGAAATAACTGCCTCGTGCGCTCTTTCTTTCCCTGCCTCACTGCTCTCCTTTCTTGCCTCCCTTCCACGAGCTCGGAAGAGTGTTCGCTGAGTGATGAGGAGGGAGAAGAAAGGCTAGCGCAGAGCTGGAGCCCAGCGCCATGTCGGGCACGGAGCAGCCGCAAAGCCGC